AGTGAACCAACTGCAATCGACCCATCACCTGTTGTAGCAATGCACTGAAAATTTGTGCCCCTAGAGAATTGATGCCCTTGAGTCCAATTCAACACAGGGGTGGTAACGGCATTCTGAACTATACCGTTTCGATCCCGCATATCCCACCTACACAGCCTATTATCATCCAATCCTAAGAAAGTTGAGCCAGATGGATCCATCTGAGCTCCTTTACTATCATTAGTGATATCCCTCATGGAAATGTCGGTCCCATCCTTCTCAAACTTCCACTCGCTCACTATTTTTCCTGTCTCAATGTCAAGCTGGTGAATACCCTTGGAATGAGGCCTATCTCCATTCATGGGGCTCATGAGTAACATGTTGGTTTCAGCTCTCATGAGTAAAGCTTTCCTGGGAGTTGAATGATTTGAACTAAATCTCTCTTTGTCGAAGTTAACATACATTCCTTTTCCTTGAATCCCATTATTGTAGTTCCTCAAGACTTGAACGCCTGAATCGCTTATCAGGAAGCTGTTATCCAAAGCCCCTAATGCCAAGCTTTGAATTTCTCCACCATTGATAGAAGCTGCTTCTTCGAACTCCTGCTTAAGCTCCCTCATTGGAGTCTTGAAGCTGTCTGTTGCGTCTTCCCACATAGAGTCGTCAGCAATTTCTGGATTTGCCCAACCTATGAAGTCTTTACCATATACTTTGACCTTGTTGGCGTCATTTGCTTCGTAGCCATAAGTATTCTCAAACAGGCAGGCTTTATACTTGTCAAAGAAGGATGTATACTCTTCCTCATCAAAGAACTTCGCAGCCCACACCCCATTTGCAATGAAATCGATCCTTTTCTCATCTTTGTAAGCTTTCAGTTGCAGATTTTCATCCACTTTGACCCGGATCTTGGTTCCTATTTTCAAGACCCACCAAGAGCCTTCCCCGCACTCTTCATCTTCTTCTTCATCTCCCTCCTCGGATACGCCTTTAAAGAAGGAATATGGAGTCCGCTTGTCGGAAACGACCCATTTAGACTTGGCAGTGCTATCTCGGACATATGCGTAAAGCTTAATGGCGTTCTTCAGAGCCGGATCCTGTTGCGACCCGACATTATACTTGAGCTTCAGAGACTTGAGCTTAGTCTCGATATCGTCCAAAGAAGGCGAGTTTAAAGTCTCCGGACGGTAGGATGAAGGAGTGTCGGCGTCATCGCCGTCGTCCCGTTGGCTATCTTGAGTCTGGGATTCGGACTCTGTTCCGTATTCGGATTCTGAATCGGAATCCAAACGCTCCAGATCTTCACGGCTGTGATTGGCTCCCATTACAGCGTTCGAAAGGATTAGTGATTGAAGAAGAGGAGTGGAAGTTGAGTGATTTTGAAATTCAGGAAATAGGGTATTGGGTCGGTATGCAAAATTGGAAATAAGAAAGAAGTAATGGAATAGGGAGCGGCTAGTCGCAACTTTTGAATTTTGAAACGTTTGAGTAGAGGCATTTTGAATTTTGATTTTTTTGTCCGTTGGGGTTATTAGTTGGTAAAGATAATTTGACACATTACCGGATTACCCTCCGGGCCTTCACCGCTTGGTATCGCCTTGAACTAACCTAAAAAAAATTTGATTTGTTTACAAACCCGGGTTCGAGTCCCCTGGCGCATGGAGTCTTTTAAATGTTTAAAACCTCCTCTACTTTCTCTTTTTCATCCAAAAATTGAACTAACCGAAAAAATGCAAATCACCCCTTCAGGCTCTGTCTGACCGTGATCATTTGGGGCGGTTACCAGTGGAATTTTTTGATGATATTTTTAGCATCTTCTTTATTATAACTAGTTTACTCATACCAAATTTCAAGTAAAAATTCAACTGGGAAGGCAGGCAAATTATTTTCTGAAATATACTTCACTGTTTAACTGCGCAGTTATCTTCAAACATTTATTTGACTGCATTCGCGATTGAATTTTTAGATAGAAATTTGGTATGGGTAAACCAGACTTAATCAAGAAGATGTTCAAAAAAATTTATCAAAAAATTCCACCGGGAATCTCCCCAAATGGCGACGGCCGGACAGAGCCTCCTCTAAAAGGGGTGATTTGCACTTTTTCGGTTAGTTCGAGAGCTTATTTGCTTCTTTTCTCTTAAAATTTTGATCGAATAAAAAGGTTCATTCCTAAAGTAAAAATATAGTTTGAGAATCGAATTTTTTAGAGAAAACTATCAGATAGGCCCTCGTACTATAGCCAAAACGTCAATTAAGCCCTTGCACTTCAAAAACACCCAATTGAACCCCTCAACTCTTTAAAAATGCTCAATTGGGCCGATTAGGCGGTAGCCTCTCGGTTTGCCGGTTAATGACCCGCGTGGCAGCCTACGTGGCATTTTTTGCATTTCCATTTTCTTTTCTTTTTTTCCTTTTTTTCCTTTTTTTCCTTTTCTTTTCTCTTTCTTTTTTCTCCTTTCTTTTCCTCGTCTCTTTTCCTCTTTCTGACTTCTCTTCTACGCAGGCCCCCCTCTAGACTTCTTCCAGCAACACTGTCGGCACCGCCCTTGCGCCAGCGTCTGTACACCTAACTCACTGCCCTGCACCATCTTCCTTCTTCAATTTCTTTTATCCCAGAGATGCCTATTCAAATGGGGGGATTCAAGGTTTGCCTTCACCACCGGTAACTGCACACGCCACCGCCGGGAAGTGCGGCGGCCATCTCTGATGATTTCGGCCGGCGCTGGAGTTGGAGTTCGCCGGATATCGGAGTTGGATTTCGCCGGATTTCTGGAGTAAAGTGAAGGGCGGCACTGCAGTGATAGTGTGCAGTGAAGGGTGTTCGTCTGGGTGCGGTGAAGTCCGCCGGCGGCACAAATGTGGTGGATTTCTGGTGGCGGCGGTCATGTTTGCAGAAGGTGGTGACTTGGGGCGAGCTAGAAGAAAGAGGGCAGGTCGTGACTTGGGAGTTGGGGCGAGCAAGAAGAAGGAGGGAAGAGAAGAACAAAAGAGAAAAAGGAAAGAAAACAAGAAAAAAGAAAAAAGAAAAAGAAAATATACCATGAAAAAATGCCACGTAGGCTGCCACGCGGGTTGTTAACCGGCAAACCGAGATGCTACCGGCTAATCGGCCCAATTGAGCATTTTTAAAGAGTTCAAGGGTTCAATTGGATGTTTTTGAAGTGCGAGAGCTTAATTGACGAGTTGGTTATAGTACGAGGGCCTATCTGATAGTTTTCTCAATTTTTTATCTTATGACTCTTAATATGTCTGCACTAAAGTGTATAGAAAACGTGATGACATTTTTGTGAATAAGAGTTTTTCCTTAATTACAAAAATGCAGTTTCTCTATGTAATTTTGTATCGTAGTTAATTAAAAGTGGATAATGAATATAATCCTAATGTGATAGTGTACCTTGAATGCTCAAAAATCCAGTCATTCACACTTTATATGTTAAAGACTATTTTTTATTAGAATTGGATCCTTGCAAGAAATATGTATCAAATCATATTGAAATTTCTATATACAAAAGAACCATGTGAATAAATTTATTAGTGCTATATAACAATAACATTAAGTATGAACTTATATTACTATTCACAAATACATAGTGTATCCAACGCAAGTGTGTGGTAATAACTTGAATAATTTTTATAACACATGGATCATTTTGTAATAGATTAGTTCTAAACATTATCTCATCTCATCTCATCTCATCTCATCTCATCTTATCTTATCTTATCTTATCTTACTATATACAAAAAGAGGATAAAAAGTCCATTTTCTGCGTAAAAATACAGGTTAAAATTTAGGTCAAATCGGGTACTACAAAGGAAGTTGTTACTTTGTTGTGTCAACTAAGGGTGTGTTTGGGAGTTGGGTTTTGGAGGGAAGGGAAAGGTTAATGGGTGTTTATGACCCTCCTTTTCATGTTTGGGAGTAAAAAGTTGGAGGGGTGGTTTTGGAGGGCTTTTGTAACCCTTCAAAACCCTCCAAATGCTTAATTTTTAAGTTCCCCCAATTTGGAGGGTTTTGGAGGATAATTAACAAGATGTTAATTTAAGCTAAATTAGAAACGAATATGAGTTTAATGATTTGAATTTGTCATATCTCAAAGTGATTTTAATTATAATTCCTTCAAAAACTATCTCCTTCCAATTTTATTACTCCAAAAAACAAAGAAGAGCTTCCTCACTCTCCCATCCATTTACCCTCCAACAACATACCTCCAAAGCCTTCCCCTCCCTTTCCCTCCAAACTCCCAAACATGCCCTAAGGTTCCTAGCCATCTCCAAAGGAAGACTAAGGTTGTGTCAACTTTCATGCAATAGTTGCTTTTATTTATACAGGTTTGTTATCGGCACATGGTTGCTTTTACTATATTTACCTTTTATCTGGAAAAAATCATCGATAGTTGGTTCAACTTTTCACTTAGAAATACTCTGTAATATCTAAAGAAGAATTGAAGTAATATTGTTCATTGGTTTCAGGATTTAAGAGCTCTAAAAGGCATCAGTGCAAGTCAATTTAACAAAAATATTAATGTATTATGATACCGATGCGATTAAGAATCGCAAAATTGATGAAAGGTTATGATATCACTATTATATATTTATATGTCAACATTTGTGTTACCGTGATGATGTAGACTCAAACTTTTAAGGGAAAAAAGTCAAATAAGATCTTTCACTAATACAAAATATCACATAAGGTCATGTATTCGATAGTGTAATACAATTAGGTTTACTAGTATAAAACAATCGGATGAGTCCTAATGCCTTGTTGGCAACCTCCTAATTTCGATTTTAGCTTACGTGTCATTATTTTTGTCTTGTGTTTAAGTCAATCATGACTAAATATTCCACGGAAACCTTATAATATATTTTAAAAAGAAAGCTAGACACACGCTAAGATCGAGATTAGGAGGTTCTCAACAGGTCGTTAGGACTCATCCGATTTTTTGTAAGTAGACGTAGTTATATGACACTTCTAGGGAGCATAAATCTTTACAAGTTTAATTTAAAAAATTACACCTCATAATTTTATCCCCAATAAAGGTACTGCACTTATCATGCAGCATGGATTAATCCAAATAATTATTTCGTCATTTAATTATATTTAAATTATTCAATTGTAATATTTTAATTGATCCATGTGAACAAAATACATTCCTTTGAAGGTACCATAAAATTGCCATCTTTTAAACACTTTGTATACAATTTGATATAACATATTCATTATTGTATTTCTTTTGAAACATTTGATCTGATTATAATCCGTACATACATGTGTGCCTTGAACATTTATATTTATTGAGTATAAATTATGATTACACTATCATGCGCATTAATGTATTATTATTCTCATAGAAATTACAAAGGTATATTGCTTGCGTGGTCCACTATTGAAACCCGCAAATTATATTTACGCACGTTTCTCCCACACAGCGTAGTCCTGTCCAGATGCAACAACTTTGAAATTGGGTGGAATTAAGTTTCCCATATCTTGTTTGCTCCCTATCTTCACTAATACTTTCCCATCAACCTTTGCCACATACATATTAGCTTCAGCAGCCAAAATCTCAACACTGCTTGCCTCATTAATCCCATTCCTATTCCTCGCTGAACTCAAATTTGAAATTTGATCCTTCAGTCCCCAATCAAAGAAATGATCATAAAACTGCATGCCAAACATGAAACAAAAATCTCTTAGTATCACCCACAACTCAAGCATTTTCATTGACGTGGTACAATTGAAAAGTCGTCTTTAAAGGTCAACTTCATAGGAGAAATAGTTTTTGTATTTGTATATTTGACGTGACTAATATCGTTAAGTCATCGTCCTACATTGGATAAATAAACAAAAAATGACACATAAGAGAAAAAGGTTATGTACCACAGATGGAACTCCAGGATGGGTGAGGATGTAAGCATATCCTTGCATAACTTTATCACTAGGAAAAGGCCAAAGCCTCTGTGTTGATCCGGTGTCATGGTTATCAACAAAAGTGACCGCGTTTTTCGGCGAAATCCCGATAAGGCCGGGAGGCTTTCCATTGGAATCCCTCAACCTCCAAAGCTCTCCTTCGACAGCAGCCTGAAGAATCCCTTTGGTGGTGAAATCAAAGGCAGTCACAAAGCCTCCCCCATTCTGCACCCATTGGGATAGCTCATTCCTGTGACCATCCTGGTTGTATTTGGGGGTTGCTTCTGTTTCGTATGCCAAAGAGTTCCAAAACTCGCCCACGGCGAAACCCGGTTTGGTCCTTTCCATGTAGATCTTAGTGATGCTACCCGCGTACCCCCTCACGAAATCGAATCGCCAACCGTCGAACCCGATTTCGGATTTGAGCCAATTCATCCAATCCGACAACTCATTTTGTACATTCTCGTTGAGATGGTCGATGTCCGGGGCCGCACCAAAGTCCATGCCGGTGTCAGGATTTCCATTGCCGTCCGAGTATTGCGTGTCGTCTTTGCATATGTAGGACGGCCCCCAATCAAGACGACCATCAGATGTGCCACCTTTAACAACATAAATGACCATTCTTGGTTCATGTTAAGCATGTGTATATAAAAGTACACACGGATAAAATAACACAATTTCATTTTTAAATAGTTTATGATTGTGTACATTTAATTACTAAAACTAATTTAATTATCAACAGAGATGATTTAACTTTATTATCAATCGGTATTAACTTAATGATTTAACTTTCCATCATTTTCAATGGAGCCAAAGACTCACTATTTTTTGGCTTGGGAATATGATGGAATAAAGCAAAATGGCTCACTAAACCGTCTGCGCTTCTTTGTTATGAAGTAACGGTCAACCAATGCAATTTTCGACGCGATTTTCACTACGGGTCATTCGAAAACAGTCTCTTTGTGCTTTAGTACAAGAGTAAGACTACGTACATTCGATCCCCCCTTATCCCACCGTAAGTGGGAGCCTTTGTGGCACCGAGATAATGATAATGATAATGATAATGATAATGATCAATTGGTATTAAAAAACGCAAATTGCAAATCTTTTATGGACAGGGGACGAGGTAAGTATAATTTTATATGAAACTCAAGGTTCCATTTTTTAAAGATAGATAGAAGGGTAGACCGATTCCAACATCTTATATGTTTATTTTAATACCATTTTTTCATATATTTGGCTGGTAAGAAACAAACATTTCAACATCTCAAGAGCTCTTTTGCAACAAAAAAAAAACATCTACTGAGCTCTCGCGACTCATGAGAGTGGTCAAATGGACTGGATCGTGCAATTTTTTATGCGCATCCTCACGGCCCAACATATTGTCTTTGAGTGTGCATTTTCCATTCATACTCCGTATATTAGAGCACATACCCACACCCGCACGGGTAACTCAGTTGGTCGAGTGGTGTGAGATTTGGATCAATGGATCAAAGTTTGAATTCCCGCAACGACCGAGTGGATGTCACAGAATCTGAAATAAGGCTGGGTCTCTAGTGCGCACGGGTGTATGGGCCTACTGTCATTATGCTGAATGAGTCACCGTGACTAACCTCCCCACCATCCTATCGGGTCGGGATGGGGCTGCTGAGGTGGGAGATTCCACCTTTTGGATCAGTAGAGCACATACCACACACCTTACATGCATTTTTATATAGGGAGCCCACACGAATTGAAAAACGAAAGATCGTGTTGACTTTTGGTGCAGACCATGACAAAATTTGGGTTGATTTATTTATAGAAGGATTAGTGGAATTATCCAAAATGTAGATCATGTGGTCATATTCTTCTCGGCAAGCCTTATCAACCATTTTTTTTAAGTAAAGGTATAATTTTTGATTTCTGTTGATCAATTGTATAATAATCAAAATAAGTAATGTTGGAGTTAACTTTTTGGCTAAATTGATTGAAGTTATTATAGATGATCATTTTAGCTATTATTTCACATGATTTTTCATTAATTAACAAAATCAACGAATTTAACCACTTCAGACAAAATCGACTAATTCGGTCAGTTTCGGTATTATTAGATATATAGGCTCCTAATCTTATATTCCCTTTTTATATTGGTATCATCTCATATTCTCATTTAAGGATGGGAAAACATCCTAATTAACATCGATCTTTAGTTTTTGTACCTTCGAAGATGCAGTAGATACCCCGGCTATCTTTATAGTCAGCACATCTATGGTTGATCACAATGTCTGCCACGGCCTTGATGTTGTTGTCATGAAGTGTCCTTATAAGAGCCTGAAGTTGTTGCTTGTTTCCATATTTGGATGCGTCCAGGTCATACAGCCTTCCAGGCATATACCCTGCACAATCATTAGATTTTAAAAGGTAAAATTTAGGCTATTCTCAAAGTATATCCTACCTTATTCATGTGGATTATTTAAAATATCATAATTGAACCGCTCAAACACAAGTGATTAATGAAATAATGATTTGAATCAATCAGATGACTTTCAAGTATCTACCTTAAAAAAGAAGAAAAAGTGGTTTTAACATAAAAAATATAGGATCATTATTGACTTTCATTATGAGGGTAGATACATTGACTAGTGTGAAAATATTTGCACGCAAGGATGATTATTCGGAAGATATAATTAATTACTTTTTATTCTATCTTTATTACGATTATGACGTGTCATGTGTTGTTGTGTGATAGGTGGGGCCACGGCTTAAAGAGGATGATTATCACCCCAAAAGAGAGAAGACCCGGATGACCGGATCCGAAACAAGAACAAACAATAAAGTTTAATGTATTTGGTGTACTTTTTCCGCGTGCAAGCAACCAATAACTTTCTCGTCTAAATTAGACGCGTGTGGAAATATTGTTACAAAATGTAACAGACGAAAAGGGCTTCCATATCCTTAGAAAATAAAACAATGAGGTGACGTGCCTTGGGGCGAAACGGAGTGGGACGGGGGCGGGAGCCAGACATGAGTAACCCCGGCCTTAGCCAAATCCGGGATCTTATTGATGAGCGAGTTGTACCAGCCCCCTTGTTGCTTGTTCGATTCCCAGTTGAACCCCTTCACCACATGATAAAACTCGATCAAATAATAAGAAGAAAAAAAGGTGTGGATGGAAGTGTAATTAAATTGTATAGCGCGCATTACTTGCTATATTACCAACCTGGAAAAGAATAGTAGAGCCAATTGCTGGAACAAAGAAGGCGTATAGACAGAAACAGGAAATAAACTGAAAAGGATCCATTATTTCCTTTTTTTTAGAATTGGTTGCTCCTCGATAAAGAGGAGAGGAGGGTTATATATAGAGGCGGGAAATATGTATGTATGTATGGCCGGGCATTTGGATAGAAGCAGAGCTGGTGCATGAGAATTAAAGATAAGATTTTGTGTTCACATCTCAATAAAAGAGAATGTACGTTAGTACACATTTAATGGTGTTCTCTTAGCTTCCGAGTTTTTAATTATTATCAATATTATTATATTCTTGGCCAACGTACCTTTCCAGATTGTTCAATTTGCCCCCGAACTCAGAAAAGCTCCAATTGGCACCCTGAACTCCATAAAAAGATTCAAATTTTACTTTTTGCAGGTCACAAGCCGGTCACCGCCATGTCACCCCCGGTAGGGGTGCCAACTGTGCATGTGACATGGCAACTTAGGGGGTCAAATAAGCCCCTGAACCCGACTGAAGTGTTCAATTTACCCCCTCAACCCTTAAATTTTTTTTGACATTTTTTAGGGTTGAGGGGGTAAATTGAACAATTTGATCGGGTTCAGGGGCTTATTTGACCCCCTAAGTTGCCACGTCACATGCACAGTTGGCACCCTACCGGGTGACATGGCGGTGACCGGATTGAAACCTGCAAAAAGTGAAATTTGAATATTTTTATTGAGTTCAGGGTGCCAATTGGAGCTTTTTTGGGTTGAGAGGGCAAATTGAGCAATCTGAAAGGGTACAAGGATCTATTTGACCCTTTAGCCTATATTCTTTGTTGTTGTTGTTATTATTATTATTATTATTATTATGGAAAGACATTTTATTAGGATAAGAAAAATTGAAGTTTACAAAGAACAAATAGGGAGCCTAGCAACAGGTACGCCTTTTTGTATAGCTAATCCTACCCTAATGAAAAGAAAATTGCCAACTTTTAAAGTAGAGTCATGTCTAGCAATATGACTCTTTACACGTTTGAGAAACAAAACAGATTCCATCTCAAGTTCCCCCAACGTGGTGAAGCCCAAAGTACTTAAGTTGTTGTTGTTTATCATCATCATCATCAACATCATCATTCATCATCATCATCATTATTAGTACTATTACTATTAATATTACTACTACTACACACACATACTATACATCAATACACCAGTATTATATTACTACATCCGTCCCAAAAAACTTTATCATTCCATAAGATTTGAACCGTGAATTTGATTAGTATCATGCGTAGTACTATGGAAGTTATAAATTTTAATTCATACTTTTATGAAAATACTTTTAAATAACAAAAAACATTTTCATATAATTTTATATTATAAATAATTTTCAATAAAAAGATATAGTTGATCAAAATTTTGAAAAATGACCGAGGTAGTAATACTCTCTGCTTTTATTACTTGTGTGATTAGTCATTCATCTCATTTCTCAAGTTTCAATCATTTATCTCATTTTTTTGTTGAAAATGAATCTATACCAATAAGCTCATAATTAAAACGTGTACAATAATAGAAAAACTCAAGACAAATAATTAAAACGTGTACATAGTTTATGAATGTGTCTAGGAGACACATTCATAAATTATGTAAACCTGGATAAGTAATACAAAAAGGAGGGAGTATATTATAGAAAAATGACACATGTACCGTACACGTTTTGATACATATATCTCGTACATTAAAAAGAATTTAGTCGAGTCGAGTCGAGTTGAGGGAAAACAGTCGAATTGTGTCTATGTGAAGAAATTAAATCAATACATAAAATTTGTAAAATTGTATGCAAATAAATTTTGTCTGTGCCTTTTCTGTGACAATGAATTTTCTTCATGAATTTTGGATATATACTTCATTTGTCCAAAATTATTTTGAGTTTAATTTTTTACCAGGATTATTTCATTTCATTCTCTAATTGTTTAGCATCGATTTATTTTTGAAGAGATATTACCCAAAATAGGACTAAAACAGTTTGAAAATTCCAAAACAGGATCGCCATGTTTTTATTCTCAAAATAGGACTAATTACTGCCATGTTTTGGTAGTACCAGATTTCAAACATGACAATATTTTCTAAACATTGCAGTAATTAGGTTTATTTTGAGAATAAAAAACATGACAGTTCTATTTTGGAATTCTGAAAATGTTTTAGTCCTATTTCGAGAACTTTCCCTTTATTTTTTAATTTGATTTTTACGATTCTAACAGAATTCCTTATCAAGTTATTATTAACAGAAAACGGTTACCATTTGTTTCAAAAGAAACAAGAAAACGGTTACCATTATAATAATATAATAATCCGGCTTTGTGTATTACATTTATGATGAGTTAGAGCCCGTTTGGTGAGCCCCTTTTTCGGTTTATCAGACTTATCAGACAGCTTTTTCACCAAACACGTAACTTTTGATTTCGCGCGCTGAATTTTGTAATAAGCAGAAAAAGTAAGGTTGAAATTACTTTTCTGACTGTATCGGCTGAAGTTACTGTAGAGGATCATTTTAGCTATTTTTAGATATAATTTTTTCTTTATTTTATTAATAAAGTATATTTTAAATTAATATTTTTCATGAATCAACAAAATCAGCCAATACAGCCACTTCAACCAGAACTTCATAAATTTCAGCAGAATAAGCCGATTCAGTCGATTTTAGTGTTACCAAACGGGCTCTTAACCTGTAACTATTTTTTTGTAACATATTTTGGAATGGAGGGAATATATATTAGCCATGCACACAAGTTCTTTAAACGTTTCCTGCAAATAAGCATTTTCCATGCGGGGCAACCGGTTATTTATTGTCTTTTTCTGCTTTTGTTCTTCCATGATATCTTGAGCATAACCAACGCCATAAATCGCGGATTTTATTTTGCTTGAAATAGCTAAAAATTAATATAAAATATGTAAACGTATACTACCATGAATGAGGATTATACTTTCCATTTATAATTACACCATTATGTAAACGTGTGAACGCTTATGTATGTTAACTTTTATATTGAAATTAAAACAACTTCAGTTTTATATTGATGGAGAAGAAAAATTAAACAAGATTCATGGTCAGGATCTTAATGTTTTGATAAAAGAAAAGAAGATAATTGAAGAAGAAAAGAAAATGGAGAAAAATCATAGGAATATATTGAAGAAGGATCGGAGATGATGCTAAAGTCCCACACCTGTAAATTAAGAAATACTAGAGTGCTATATTAAGATTTGGATTTCTCCTCCTGTCAGGTTGACTTTATATGATGAAACCTGGAATCGAACATATTGATCACCAGAAGATGAAAGAGCTACTAATGAAGAAGAATGAGACAACATAGGGACATTTACAATTTTCTTAATGTAAAATTATACTACCTCCATCTCACTGAGATTGAGACAAGAGAAAGTGGCACGATTATTAAGAAAAATGAGTTTATGTTGTTGATATTAAATTGGTAAAGTAAGAATAAAGTAAAAATGATTTAGAGTCACACAAACTTTACCAAATTTGGATAATCTTAGCGGGATGGAGGGAGTAAGATTTTTGAATTAGTATAGTGTATTCATATGCTTGGTGTAATGATTGCACGGTATAATTTGTACCGAATTGATGAATGGCTAGACAATCCAATCACACACAGTTTGTTTCCGTTACGTTCAATTCACTAAACAACAGCAATTTGGGCCGGCAATCATGGGGGAGCATATGAGCTTATCCTGTTATTTATCTAATTATCCATTCATATTTTTCGTTTCTTCATTCTTTTATCAACTACACCTCACACCTTGACAAATATGTAATGCCAAAACAGCAAAAATGGAAAGAAACAAGAAAGTCACAAATGGCTCCCCCACAGGTTAATTAAGTCCCTCTCTACCTGACGCTAACAGCGGGATATCCTTGAGTCTCCTCCCCGTTAAATGATTTTTAGAAGGTAAAAGTAACAAATAAGCTTTCGAACTAACTTAAAAAATTCAAATCACCTCTTTTATTGGAGGCTCTGTCCAGCCGTCGTCATTTGGGACGGTTTCCCGTGGAAGTTTCTGATTAACTTTTTTGAGCATCTTTTTCATTAAGTCTAGTTTACACATACCAAATTTCAGCTAAAAATTCAATCGGGAAGGCAGTCAAATAAAATTTTGAAGATAATTGCGCAGTTAACAGCACAATATATTTCAGAAAATCATTCGACTATCTTCATGATTGAATTTTTATCTCAAGGCCAATGCGGGCGTCAGGGGCATCACCGTTAAGCTGGCGGCGCAGATTATTCGTGAGGTCGGTGGCCTCCTGGAAAACATCCTCGCCCACGGCCTTGTCGGCCGTGGCGTCCTCCTCGTGTTCCCTGTTCTCTTGGGCCTCAGGGATGGCCTTGCCGAGGAGGTTACGGTTGGACTTAGTTCTTCCCATGATCAGCTAGCTGTGCTTGGTTGCGACGAAGGATGCTAACTTAATTGTTCTACCTCTCAATGAAAGCACCAAATGATAGAGTATTAACTCCTAGAGAGAAGTGAGAGCTAGAGTATAGAGAGAGAAGTGCAATGAACAGGAGGGGGTTCAGGAGGGGGACGAATTAACTCCTAGGTGCACAGTTCCTCCATGGCGGCGGTTCAGGAGGGGGACGAATTTTCATCACTTCATCTTCTTCCTTCCTCACCTTGATTTGTCCGTGAGTCACCTCCGTCTCTTGGCCAAAATACAACACGAATACCACCAGTTCAAAAGCGATCAGCCTCCACTTCGCTATCCTTGGAATAGCCTTCCTCCTCATCACGTTCATCCGCATCAACCTTCCCCGTCCGAATTAAGCGGAGTAGCCGCTAACCCAGTGCACAATACGAAAGAATCCGCTGCACCCACGCTGGTCGCAATCAAAGGTATTCGGCCAAAATCGTGTCCCTTTTGCGAAGCTACAGTATGCGATGAAGACCTTCGAGATAGCCTTACTTCTAGATTGTCAACTTCCGTACTGTTCAATCGTCGAATTCCTTCGCCGACCCCAATCCTCGCAGACGTTGGACGAAACCCAAGCTGCGGCGCTAACCCTGGAAGAAATTCGCTAACCCATAATAGTTAAAAATTCTTCAAAAAAAATAGACTACTCACACTTTTCTTTTCAAAAATAGCCTCCTGCTTTAAATCTAATCCACATGAGTGTATGTTTATCAAGCAGTCACTCCTTTGCATTTACGTGTCTTTTTTCTTATTACTTGTATATGTTGCTAATAATGAAATTAGTGTATTAAACTAATAATGTATAGAAGGACATCTAGGCTGGGCTCAATTAATATTAATATGCTTGACTCGGATGGATCTTGACAAGCAGATCAGTTAGATGGGCTGGATATCAAATACTTTACCTCATGCCCACCCCTTTAAGGGAAATTCTATTTGCAACCCATGTTTTACTATTCACAGCCCCTAACGTAAGCAACTTTTTTAAATACCTATATTACCCTCTCTGTTAAATCAATCCATATGAACAACCACCTACCACTCATTCATTCGGTCATCTTGAATAATGGGAAAGAAACACAGATGAGAAAAATTGTGGTTAAAAGAAATCGCAAGAAATGATTTAACTTCCATTGATTTCCTTTTGTTGATACTAAAATGGTCTATTTTAGTATATCTTCCGTGACCGGAAAATAACTCCTTGAACGAGTATCAATCCATAGGAGGATGGGGAGAGGTGGGGGTTGAAGGAGGCGGAGGTAATGAAGGTGGTCACCGGGAAGGTGGTTACAGAGATTGGGGCAGCCGCGGGGTGGCTGAAAGGATGGAGACGTGAATAATATCAATGCTTAAAATATTATGTTTGATTCCTACGCATCCAAACAAGTGAGCCGGATATAATGTTTCTTCCTTCTAGTAGTTTGGAAGTGCTAGAAGAATTAACAGGGTTGGAATGAGCAACCCCTACAGGCTCACAAACTCGGATTTGTCTGAAATCACAATAGAGGCTCTCAAGTTTAAACACACTAATCACATAGTAGTTTTATAAGCTTTTCCCTAAGAGCTACCTGAGCGGATAGTTTTCAGTCCCAAATCAGACCACATTTAAACAGATCATATCAAACTTAAACAAATCTAATCAGATTAGACCATATTTTCATAGTTATAAATACACAGACACCATACATTTATCAGTATAGACCATATCAGACCAGATTAGAGCAGACTTAAATAGATCAGACTAGCAAATTTCCTTCAACGGTAATTTGTCTTAAAAAACAAGAATTCATTTAAACCCTTATTTATATAAACGTCACCGAGTTGTATTTTACTTTTTGACATTGAACATAACTGTGTGTTAAAAATCGAAATTATGAATTCTATAAGTTCAACATCATCACCATCATCATTATCCCAGTGACGCAAAGGCTCTCACCTACGGTGGGGTAAGAGGGGGTCGGATATACGCAGTCTTACCCCTGTACCAAAGCAGGGAGAGACGGTATCCGGATATTTAATAAGTTCAACAATCGATAGAAATGCAACACTTAAAAAAGTGAAAGGTAAAGATGAAAATTATTGTTGAAGGAAAAATGTTTGTCAAAATAGGTAAATCCTAAATTCACAATGTAGCCTTGATTGTCATCGGCTCCAAGGGTTTAATTTCTTGAATAATTATTATAGAATTTTAAATATCAGAACAAATATCAGTCATTTTAAGATGCTAATAAAGAAGCATCATTATTGATTAATGGGATTGTAGATAAATGCATTACTCTTTGTCAGTTGAGATATCAAATACTCCATACAAAACAAGATTGCAAATATGAGTGAGTATTCTCAAGTAGATTGAACGCTATACTTCTTCTATACGGTGGTTAATTTCTTGATGTTGGTTTCTCCCAAACAGCAAAGTCTTTTCCACTCGTAGCCAGCACATAATTAGACGGGACAAGGTTCTTAAGATCACCATTTGGCCCAATCTTGACAATTACATTCCCATTGATCTTTGCAATGTAAAGATCAGCATCGGCAGCCAAGATCTCCACCCCACTTGTTTCAGTAATACCATTCCTCTTCCTGATTGAAATCAGTGTGGAAATGGGATCCTTCAACCCCCAATCAAAGAAATGGTCGTAAAACTGTGCGATAAGAGACCATGCGGATTAAACCCGTATCCATGACATTATATTCATATACGAAAAAAAATGAAATATTACCACTGATGGAATTCCGGGGTGAGTGAGGATATAAGCATATCCCTGAACAACTCTGGCGTGATTTTCCTCATCTGTGTTGGCAGTAGTAAAAGGCCATAGATTCTGTGACCAAGTGTCATGGTTGTCAATGAAAGTCACCGCATTCTGAGGCAGAACTCCTATCATCCCGGAAGGCTTTCCGTTTGAATCTTTCAATCTCCAGAGCTCGGTTGAGTTCAAAGCGGCTTGAAGGATTCCTTTCGTCGTGAAATCGAACGCGGTTGCCGCACCTCCCGCGTTCTTTACCCATTGCACCAGTTCGTTGCGATGAGCGTCCTGGTGTCAAGTAAATTATATTAAAAAAGTGTCTCACATTGGCTAAATATGAACAAAGAAACCATTGTGTAAGATTTTGAGTTACTCTTTGTACTTCTTGATCGAACCATAGATCATCAACTCTTTGCTTTTATATAACAGCATGATTTAAACACCATTAGCTATAGTATTAAGCATTTTTTTCACATATTAATATCTATCATGAATCACTGCTCAAACTAGCAGTAAACACTCCCTTAGTACCTGATTGTAGTCTGGTTTCGGAACTTTCCCGGGAGAGAGGGAATTCCATAACTCTCCGACCGCAAAGTTCGGCTTCGTGTTGTCCATATAAATTTTAACTGCAGCAAAGCCCTTTACGAAATCATAACCTTTGACGAAATCAAATCTCCAACCATCGAACCCGACCTCAGATTTCAACCAATTCATCCAATCCGATATCTCCGTTTGAACCTTTAGACTGCGGTGATCAATGTCGGGCGCATCCCCCCAGGGATCCCCAGTATCGGGATTCCCTGTGCCACCGAACACAGTATCATCACCGCAGATTTCGGATGGCCCCCAGTCAAGCTTAGTATCAGGGGTTCCACCTTCAAAGAGGTTTATTTTGCCATCAGTGTTGGCTCTCTCACCAGCTCTGTGATTCAAGACTATATCTGCAACACATTTGATGCCTCTGGCATGAAAGGCGTCAATGAGCTTCTTCAGTTCCTGCTTGTTCCCATACTTTGATGTATCCAAATCATACATCCTTTTTGGCATATACCCTATCAAAAAGTTTATACATGATAAACTAATCCTACTAATCGAATATAACTTTCCTCAAAATTGAAATCTTGCATATCAACCACAAAAAAAGAGGTAAGTTAATTAATATAACACTTTCTTAAACTGCATGAAAATCCATTTGGAACAAGCAACTTAGCACGAATGGATTATTTAAGTATTTAACTCAAATAAATTGTACCAAACTGGTGGCATGTGTGTTGTGCATCTGGAATTCTGGATGACTCATGCTCAGTTCAAATAATGTTGCAAGTGTTATTACTGCAGAATTAGCTTTATCAAGTAGAAAATGAGCAATTTTTTATATTTGAATAAATGTAGAAATAGTGACATATATATGAATAAAATAAAGATGATAGAGCACAAAGGTGACTTCTTGTGTGAAGCGGCCATATTAGTAACTTTTAGTGACCATAATTATGTTCAATTTTAGTGTAGTGACCATGAAGTTCCACAGATAATAACTTTAGTGATATTTTTATTCCTAAGATTTATTTGAATACTAATCTAGGAAAAAACTCGTGGGTATATATATTTAGAGAAAAATGAACAGGGGTAAGATATATTCATGAAAAATGAGCATTTATAATAACGAAATGTCCATAATAATTCGTCAAGAAAAACACACAAATGTACAATTATGATTCGTAACTAGTAAGCTTTTAATTTCACATGTTGAAACCGTTTAGTAATCAAAATAAATAAGAGGTTACTTTTGTGCATGAATTGAGGGACTATAACTATTATAGCTCTTTTTTATATAAGTGTTTTCGTCAAGATCTATGTTATAATTAGCTTCAAAGTGGGAATAAGAGTTCAAAAATACCTTGAGGATCCCCATCACGGGCATTGGATGCTGGTGGGAGCCAAACATGAGTGACTCCGGCATTAGCCAAGTCAGGGACTTTGGTTAAGAGCCAGTTCCACCATCCTCCTTGCTGATTTATGGAAGTCCAAGTAAATCCCTGATACAAGTCAAATAATAAGTATTTAATTTCAGTGCAAATTATCACCTTTAATCAGTACTCTACTAAATTTATTCTGTAAGAGACCATGGGTAGGGTTTCAAGTGGCTAAATAGGTTGAAATTGTTAAACCTTGGACTCAAATAGTTGAAATAACTGTATGAGCTGAATTAGGAAGAATCTATGACTTAAATACACTTATATTCTTCATTCCAGCTATTTTAGCCATTAAAAATTATGGATGTCATCTTCATTCTTCACTAACTTCTTCGTTGTGAGCTATAAAGCACGGAAACTCGACAAAGAGTATGCTTTGTTTTGAAAACTCAACAGGAACTCTTTGGAAACTCTTCAAACAGTTGTTTTTCGAGTAAATGATGTCGTTTCTCATTTCCCGTTTCCTTCTGATTTTCACGTTTCCGTGCAAATAATACGTTAGAGTTAATGAGCCAAATAGGTTCACATCCTTGATTTTTATATTTTTTTTATATTATTAACCAACTCTGTGCAAGGAGTTAATGAATTGGCATTCACTAATGAACTTTGGCTGAAAAATTAAAAACAAGGCAAAACACAACCATTTAAAAACAGTACCTGGAACAGCACTGTTGAAGAAGACAATACCGGGAAAAGAAAGAAAGCAAGGCAGAAGAATGAAAGACTACATAATGAGGGCTTCATGGTTTCTGCTGTTTTGTCTTGAATTCCAGCATTAAGGATGGAAAGAGGTGTTATAAAGTTTTGTGTTGGCAAATGAATGGCTGGAAATTTCTAAGTTGACTATTCTTGGGCATCCAAAATTAATGTTAATCACTGTGCTATCCGCACGTTGACTTGACTTGTGTTAGGGAACTTGGTAATAACAATATGGAAAAGCTGACTATTCTTTACTTAATAACCAAGAACGTAAGATGCAGTTTGTAAAGTAAAGAAACACATGTCTATAAATGTCACAACTCACCAGTGCCAGTTCTGATATAAAATGCTTGAAGATGGGGGCCGAGTCATTTTATAATGAAAGTAGTCTAATTTTCTTTTTAACTGAAGATGTTGGAATTAATAAAATTGATGATATGGTTTAACCATATATAGTTATTTCTGTACTTTTTAATAAAACAAAATCCAATATCATGAGACAAATCTCTCGCGAACTACTCAAGCGTTTTTATATCTAGACCTCAAAGAAGAGGTAAGAGTTAAAGCATAATGAAGGTAGATGCCATCCTACTATGCACAGTAAGCATATATCAATTTGAAGGATTTGTTAAGCTTCTCTTATAAAAACCACAAGGGAAGTTAGTTACCAAAATAGAGGACAGAAAACTGAAAGGAAATCACCATAGCTAGCACACAACAAGCCTTTTAATGGACATTTGTTTAGTTAGGAGTTGTTACCAGTGTCTGATTGAGGAAGTAGAAAGTGAATTGTGCATAGAATTTGTGATTTCTGCTAATGGTATTGAAAGTTAGTTTCACTTGCTTGTGTCCTGATTCAGGACGGTCCGACGGGACCAGCTCAAAGGGGAGTTCAATTCTGATGTCGGCGGAAGAAAAGTTGTGTGTTTTCCGCTGCAGCAACTCAGCAAGAGGAAGCCTCCTGGCGTTTGTATGGATGCTGCCCGGCATCCATATTCTGCCCAACAGGAGCACTGACCAAGTTTGACGTGTTATATGTGTGTGAATATGAGTGATGATGCATGAAGAGTTGATTCCTTGAAATCATACTTGTCACGGCCTTAAGGCGAGTTGCGGCGCCAACCGACGGTCATATCGCCTAGGCGAAAAGGTGCTCGCCTAGGCGACAAGCGCCCACCTAGACGACAATTAGACGACTTATCGCACAATATACATAATTATATTTTATACATAACAATACAACATTCTATTTAATTTGTAATTTAATTACATATTATATATGATATATTAAGAATGCAATTGTATATTGCCTAATAATTTATTAATATATTAGTATAGCTAATTGATTAATATGCAAATTATTAATTTCAATATTAATATACCCAATTTATTAATTTATTATATATCTAATTTATTAATATACAAGTTATATTCATTGCTAAATATATACTGTAGTATGTATCTATGCATGTTGTATAGTGTGTACGAAATATACATATATTATATTAAAATTAAACTATGTAAAACTGTAGTGGATATACTGCTGAGTGGGTACGAAGTATTAATATTAATGTTTAATATCAATATATAATAGAATAAGAAGTCTGATAAAGACTAACGTTATAAGATGAATGACAGATAAAAATAAAAGGCTGGGAAGAGCGCACATCGTCTTCAACCTTTGACGCAGGAACACATCAACTACAGATATGGTTGGACTCGGGCCAGGTCGGGCAATACTTAGACAGTCCAAATCCAGAACCAAAACCGTGTCCAGACTCAGAGACCTTCATGCACTACTTATACAGAATTAACAAATAGCTTAAATAACAAACCACTGAGTTCTAGTCTACCCACAAGGCCATGATCATGGAGGCAGCATGATATGTTGGGACAATATGAGATCTGATACAGTCTTTCCATGTCTATCAATTCTTCGTGAACAGTTGACACCACCATCTAGGATGTCACGGACTACAACATTCAGAGAATGAATACCCCTGACTTGATAGATCTCCACCTTGACATTCTCGCTGACCCATTGGTTTCTTTGTTCAATATCATCTGAAGTTGGAAACGACGTGGGATATAGAAGTGGTGAGACAGCTTCCTTCACCCAATCTGGAGTTATAACGGTCTTTAGCCTTTCAACATCTGCCGGGAAATGCGGGATAAGGGAGAAGTTGAGGTCATTCCCCTTATCACCAGCCCTGCTGTGGGCTATGTCATAGAGGGGGATCATTGTTCCAGACGGAGCTGGAGAGCAGCAATTAAGCTGTGGATCTCGAAAATCACTGATTGTGCCTTCTTCTTTGGAGAATGTTTCATGACGGTGCTTATCGCTGGCAAGCACAACTTTCTGGAGGTCATCCGTCTGTGCGCTTGATGTAGTGATACACATGCCCATTGCTGAGATGCCCCATTGTACATCTTCACGACTCACCTAAAATGGTGGTGTTCAGTCTGTATAATTGACATAAAAATATAATAAAAGAAGTCTGTATAAATTGATACACAAGTAACAATTAAACCTATAGCATATGATACCCCTCCATTGGGTTGGAACCCAAATCAACCATGTATAACTCGAGATCAGAGTTGCAAAATGTATGCTTTCTTTTCATTTTTTCCCTTTTTTATTATTATTTTTCTTCATTCTCACTGCCATCCACCTATCCATATTCTAATATTTTATCGATTGGTCAGCCATGCAAAAAAAGGGGTGGTATCAATTTGGAGTCAGGCAAAAATATGAATTGACAACCCATTGAGAAAATTATGGACTAGAAAATGAAATGGATATGTAGTACTCAATCATTACTTTAAACTGGAAATATGGAGTTATACTAACTAAATGGTTGAGAAAAGACACCCCAACCTAATCTTCATAGATGATGAAACAATTTTGAAAAAGAGAAGTGACATTCTTCTCCATTGGGAGTGCATGTGCATGCGACCATAGGTATGTGTGTCTGTGAGAGAGACAGTGAAATACCAATTCTTTCTCCAGAATAAGCTCTTTCTTCCAACCGGTACTGCGTATTTAATAGCCTGGTTTTAAAACAACATCTGGTGGTTTGTATATTTAAATCTAGATGCAGTTGTGCGTGAAGTGAAATAGACAGACCTGATACCACCACCACCAGCTGGGCCATTAGTATACAAAGCTGTGAATTCTCTTGAAAACTGTATAGCTATTTCCTCTTCCTCAAATAGGCCATCCATCCGAAGTCTAATATCCTCACAATGTCTTGCCGCCTTATTGTCCATGCTCATTGCTTTTAAGCTATCAAGACCTATTATGTACGAAATGATATGTTTGTTGACACCTGGATAAATTTCTTCCATCCATGATTTTACCTGATAGTATATAAAACTGTAGTCAAAAGCACTCCGAAAAAATGAATCTCATTATTTGTTTCATTTCAGAAAAGAATTTTCTTTGTTGAGCCAATTTGGAAAGGCTTGTTTGGTTCAAGTGACTGAATATACTCCTGTATATAAGAGGAAGTGTTTGGTAACATCCACTTCAGCCAAATAAGTCAAATGCCCTACTTGTAGCTTAACTATGCGCATGAGCAGAATAACCCGAATTAGACTGCCAAACGGGGCCCGGCAGTTTTTTGTGGCATTAACCCTTTTTTGCAGTAATCATAGTTGTAGTTTTAGAAGAAGCATATATATTAGTTTGAACAAAAAGGCAAGGGAAGTGGCAAAACTAAGCATCACACTACTACTCACCAAGAATTCAGCAGCTTCGGCACGTTTTATACACTCATAACCCCCATACGATATCTCTCCCCAACCTTTCCACCCCTGGTCCTGCAGAACATGGCAAAAGACAGATCGGCTTGATTACACACCGAATATAAAATGCAAAGACATACAGCTCCTTTACAGAGGTAAGAGGTTAGAAGAAAAAGAAGAAACATCATACTTCGTATTATCAGATTTTTAAAGTTTGAAGACCCTTAACTATTCTTTTTTGAAGATACAGCTTTTTTTGTAAATGCTTAAACTAGTACATTAAACAACAACAACAACAAACCAAGAGCAACTGATCTTGTAATCTAGAGCACTAATGCTAGACTATTTTATTTCATCTAGTATGACTGGTAATCTGGTATAATGAAAAAAATTCTTGATTCATTGAATTACTCACAAAAATATTCATCAACTACATCTCTAGTGAAAAAGAATTTTTAATAGGAATAGCACCAATAAGGAGGGTTTCCATTTCCAACATCCCTAACCAAACAAGGGGCAAAAGTTGGGAGAACCACCACCTCCTTTGCTGTATTATATCATACTACCTCTGTCCCACAATTAAGTTCCCTAAACGGATCGCTAATTATTCAAAATTTACATTACTTTATCCCACAAAGTCAATTTTATATAGTTCATTTCAATATATACTATTCAAATGTTAATTCATTATAGGTTTTATAAGTATAGTGTTTTACATATTTAGAGTCAAATGTCCACATAGAAGATCGTAAAAGTCAAACTGGGAACTTAATTGTGGGACGGAAGGAGTATCAATTACTCTCACACACAAATTTGAAGTACCTTTGAAGCCAGCAGTAACAACTTATCAGGCACTGCTTGTATATATGGTTTCGCTCCAATGCAGAGAACCTTATTTTTCGACAGTGGTTGAAATATAACATCTTGGAAATCTACAATCTGTACGGAAGGAAAGACAAGGGATTGAAACCTTGTTATTCATATATGCTATCAAACCAGATGGTACATAGAAGATAATGAAGACATTAATTACCACATCAGGAGTGATGTATTTTCCAGGATCCCCAACCTCATACAGAAGCTGCTCCGCACAAGTGCTAGAATTTAGTAGCCCGCCACTACTTTCTGCCTTTGCCACACATACTGAACCATCATATTTAACCCTCACAAATGGGAGAGACAAATCTAGTAGATCTTGGAATGACATGTCTCGGTATTTGTCTCCTACACAAATGTCACATTAGTAACTCAATATATATGTACAAGAATGACCCAAGACCAAAGTGACGCTGCAAATTCCACCTTTATAGGTTTCCAGGAATGTTTGGAAGTTGGGGGGAAAGTACTAAAGAAAATGGTTTTTTATGCTAGGACTAAATTTGGAAATTATGGAGGAAGATCGGTTTTTGTTTTTAAAGTTTATATACATTTAGATTCTTAGTCATTATATAGTAGAACAATTAAAATAAATCGAGCTTGAACAAATATGTACTCCCTCTCCTCCAAACTATTAGTCATTTTAGTCAATTCATATTGCCCTACAACCATTTTCCTTTTAGGAATTTAATGCACACTTTGTACTGATATCCAAATATTTCCAATTTAGTTATTCGCATATAAAATACTTGTGTGCCTTAAAAAGACGCATTTAATATGGACGTTTTATAGGAATATTATAGTTATTTTGCAATGTTCTTAATGTGTGAACACCTTTCAAAGACGAATTACTTTGGGACAGTGAGAGTGCTAAATTTGGCGCAATCTTTTTCCTATTCTCCATGGCCTCCTTCATTTCCAAATATCCTCTATATTTTCCTCCATATTTCTTTCCCGGGAATTTTCCAAGTTCCTAACAGACCCTAATGGTGATTTTTAAGAGCACTCCTTAATGAAGATATCACCTGGATGCATATAATATCCTCCAGTGAGCTGACAACCACATTCTAACAGGTGGCCAGCCAGTGAACCTTGGGCTAACAGGTTCATTTCATCCCAATTCCAGCCCAACTCATATACCTGTTTATACGCAATGTTTAGAGATTCAGGAAAGGAAGATTATAAAAGAGAAAATTCCTTAAATAGAACTAAAACATAGACAAAATGCACAAATAAGACCACCATTGTTTTCTTCCTAAAATGAATCATCACTCCTGATTGGAAAACTTTATACTTTGAATAGGATCAAATAGTCCTACTTTGGGAACATTGTCACTCTTATTTGACTTTGTCTTTGTTTTTGTTTTCGTCCTATTTGGAGCAATTTCTTATTATAAAAATATGGATCAAGTTCATACCATTGGACCCAAGAACAAGGAAGCATCTGCAACTCGAGAAGTAATAACAAGATTTGGTCTGTATCTCTCAAGACACTCAACAATGGGAGCTGCTCCCAGATACGTACTAACATCCTGCATAAAATCAGGCACTCAAAAAGGGTTGACTTTTCCTGTTTTCAAGTAATATATCAGCAATTCAGCATTGTCCTTGCTTTGAAAAAGAAATAAAAAGAACACAATCAACAATTAAAATGGAAATATAATAGCAACGAAGATATTATGCTCAATCTGACTGAACTAAATATTCGAAAAAACTACTTTAGTTACTGAAAACTTTAAGCGTTCCCCTCTGTTACGAAATGTTCTTTCTATTTTCCTTTTTGGATCAACCCAGAAATTTGTTCGCATTCTCTTATACAGAAAGAATTGTGTGGTTGATATTAATCCCTTATTTCTTAATGCATCTCAACTACACAATTTCACTGAGTAAAAACAGTGCAAACGTAATAAAGGTGCAGAACGTTATGTGACGGAGGGAGCACTACTTTTAATTCATACTCTGTATAAATTACAAGAATGTATTCAAAGGGTCAGGAAAACCTTACAGCATCATCATCTCTCAAATGATAGATACCGACAATTTCTAGATTCTTGAATTAACCAGACAATCAAGAATGGAGCAGATCAATCAAGAAAACTGAATGTTTATTAACAGAAGGAAGAGTACAGTAATAGTTCTGGGCAAATTCGAGAGTGCCAGAGCTCTCCAAAGTTCTCTTTTCTAATTCAATAACAGCCTACCATTCTTAGACTCCCCACTTCTATTTATAGTACTTATGTTTATAATACAAGCCTACTTATTATTATTTCTAATAATAGGAATCAGCCATGATTTTCCACTTCCACTTTATTCTTGCACCTCTTCCCTCCCAGTACTTGACTGATTGCGGGACTAGGAATTTGAATACCAAATCGTTTGATATCACAGACATTTCCCCAGCATAAGATGTATCTAATGAAGGTTCATTCTCTTCAGTAACTTTCAAGCACTCAATCACAACACATGTTTCTGTACTCGATGCAAACTTTTCTTTGTATCTTTCAGCTTCTTCCTCTTTCCATTCTTGGCCTATCTCATGTGAAAAAGAAGGCATAAAAGGTTTTAGCAAGCAAGCCAGGAGATCCCCTATACCAGCAGGAGTTCTCTTAAGTATAGAACAGGAATTCCTATCTTCAATGTAAGAATCCCACAGTTGATTTTCTTGCAGAAATTCTAGATACCATTCAACCCCTTCAACTGTCAACACTGCAGCAGTTCTCATAACTATGGAACATGAAAGCATATCTTCCATATAAAGTTTGCAAAAGTGGTCTGCTTGCATGCAATCATTTCCTTCATCCGAAAAAGATATGGTCATTGTTAATTCCTTCTGTTCTGACAACCTTATCGGTCTTGTACTGCAGTTGACTCGTCTTGCTGTAGGAATAGAACTGACCTCTCTGCATTTAACAACTTGCTCAACATGATACCTTGAGTTTATTGCAGAGCTAGGATCTACTCCAAACTCAGACCGTGGACCCAAACCTTGCCCTCCATTGTAGATTGGAACAAAGCAACCCTGGTTTTCAATCTTCATCCCTCCCCGTTTCATTCCCCTAGCAATTTCAGCAGCCTTTCTGGCATCAATAGTGGTTTCCGAGACAGCATAAACTGCTGCAGATTCTTTCTTTTCATCACATTGGCATTCTGATAGTGGCCTCCTGTCAACCAACACTTTACAATTCTCAAAGTAGCGACCTAACTGTTGGTTTGGAATTTCCAGAACCTCAACAACTTTATCCCCAGAACATAAACACGTCTCATGCTCTGCATACTTATTCAGAATGTTCCCCTCACCTATTTTCTCAATGTCCTCATCCATTGGCTTCAAATCAATCTTCGTTATAGCAGGATTTGTCTTGTAAAACTTCAACAACCAACAAAAATGGTGCACGACAGCTCTGCCATGCGATTTCAGATTCTCTAACCGCCAAAGTCCCAGGTCTTGGAAGTTTTCTACTTTCCTATCCCCTATACGAGAGCCAATAGCTCTTGCTTCAGGATATAACCCAAGCCCTTGGGTTTCAGTTGCTTCATTCTTTGAAATTGTAGCATCTGACATGTATTTCCTTCTATTTCTTTCAGAAAAAGTGCAATCACTGGAAGGTCCTCCTGAAAAAATGGCATGTGATTCACCTTTAGGTTCAGCAGCATCTGATGCCTTTTTCTCGCTTTCATCACCGCCCTTGGTATCCTTCTCTGCATTTTCTCTAACAAAAGAAGCACTCCTACCATCAAAGGATGGTTGCTGCTCCCTCACAGACTCCTGTAGGACTGTTGATGCCTGGGAACTGGAAGCTATTGTTCGCGACAAAGCTGAAACAGTTTGCGATGACATCTGCGAACGGGAAGCTTCTCTCGATAGAGTCTTACTTGGTTGTGAACTGCTGGTGGATGATGAAGTTCGTGATTTCGAACTGTGAGAAGAAATCAACTCAGGTTGAAATCTGCGAATGATAGATTTTTTTAGAGTGTCCCAATTAGTTTCTTCAGTCTTGTATTCCCACGAATGAAACCAAGTCAAAGCCCTATCTTTCATAGCAACCCTAGAAACTTCAACCTTTTCTTCCTCTTCAATGTCATTTAGCCGAAAATACCTCTCTATTTGTATAATCCAGTTATTGGCTCCTTCACCATTAAACAAAGGTAAATCTACCTTTCTACCAGAATACACAGGTACTCTCATTTGTTCATCACTACGTCGATGACCATGGACATTTGAGTAAGCGGAATTACCTCTGTAAACAACAGGACTGTTCGAAGTTCGCATCTGCTGTGGCGGAGGTGTTCGCGACTTTCTTCTGCTTAGAGAAGTGCGATGAAAAGCGCGATGCGAATTGTGCAACGTAAGTTGTGCGCTTAGCGAGGACCCCTGCGACCTGCGCGAATCTGTTAGCGATTGTGAACTAAGAGTAATTGTTCGCGTATGAGGTTGCTGCGATGTTCGCGATCTTCCCCTGCTATGAAGTTGTTCATTCCTCATCGCCATTTTCGCTGCTATGTTTTTTTTTTGCGTAGATTTCATCTCCTGATAATTGCGTTCCAGTGTTTCCAGTCGGTTCTCCATTTTTTCCATCGCTCTAACCATTCACAACTTGCGACGAAAATTTCTGGAAATCTGAGTAAGTTTCCGATCAAAGCTACGGTCACCAGGAATGTAATGCTCTGATACCAATGATAGATACCGACAATTTCTAGATTCTTGAATTAACCAGACAATCAAGAATGGAGCAGATCAATCAAGAAAACTGAATGTTTATTAACAGAAGGAAGAGTACAGTAATAGTTCTGGGCAAATTCGAGAGTGCCAGAGCTCTCCAAAGTTCTCTTTTCTAATTCAATAACAGCCTACCATTCTTAGACTCCCCACTTCTATTTATAGTACTTATGTTTATAATACAAGCCTACTTATTATTATTTCTAATAATATGCCCAATCCTATCACACTACTTTTAATTCATACTCTGTATAAATTACAAGAATGTATTCAAAGGGTCAGGAAAACCTTACAGCATCATCATCTCTCAGAACATCCTTTGAACCTGCAAGTCATAAAAAGGGGGTAAAATGAAGTCACAAGCAGATATTAGATTGTAAGTCCTCTTATTTGTAGCCTTTTTATCATCTGTGCAAGAGAAATTACCTGATCTCAAGACTCTATGCTGATAGGCCAAACCGACAGTGATGTTGATGCCCAATCTGCTTGCAACTCTCAATACCTCATCGCGAGCACAGGAAGGATTCTCTTCATCGAAGTTGCAAAAACACAGATTACCAAGCAAATCCTTTTATTAAAAAACAACAAAAAACAAAAACGAAAAGGAGAAACTCACTTGCACCCATGTTGGTAATAATGCAAACTCCTCTTTCGACAGCCAAGGGTAAGAGCAATTGCATCCAGTCAGTTACTGCTTAAATTACTCAAACTCTCAAACTTACTAAAAGTTAAGCAAATATAATCCAGTACTGCATAAATGATGCTAGACGAATTTGTGTTGGAATGCAATTTTACTAGAATACGTAATTAATTCACCATAAATGATAAGAAAACATACTTTGGGGATCATAGCCCTTGCCACCAGACTTGATTGACCGATGGTGGTCGGCAAGGGTACGTTCTGCCAAACACTCCAATACAAGATAGTCTAATTCTTTTACCCTCTGAAGCAACTTTAGGGCTGCCAACGGTCTATCACCTCCGAAACCAGCACCACAGCCAATAAAAACTTCATTTTTCCGCCTTTGAGGATTCACCCTCTGTATCATTGGCATTCACATCATACAAATACACTGCATATAGATGCATATATGTATAACCAGGAAAAAATATTCACCAGCTTGATGACACAGTCATGAATCTCTGGCCTGGCACAATTTTGACTTTCTATGAAACCCTGATAAATCCAATAATTCAATGACAACACATGTCAAATTGCAATTTTGATTAAATTATAAGAACTATCTTCTCAAATGTATATAATTGGGCCAAAGAGAAAAACTTAAAACTAGCTTAGTAGAACATTTAGATCCCAAGAAGCACAAATGCTACCCCATATGTACTAATATTCTTGTGATATTGAGTCTGATAATTTTAAACACTTCATAATACTTTCACACTATGGAGCAATCAATTAACCCGCAAACATATAGTTAACTTCTCATTCTGGAGTATCTGCGTTCCTTAGCTTTACCGCTAACAACCACTTATATTCCTCCTCCGTTATTATAGCTAGTTATTTTGAATTGTTCACATCTGTTTATCCTAATCTAGTGTAAGTAGTTGGGGTAGTGCCTTGTATTTAGGAATTGCTGTTGCTTCTTTGTTGTATAAATTTAACTGTAAATGATGTACTGCGGACTGAATAGAAAAATACAACTTCGTCTCTATCATCTATATGGTATCCAGAGCCTTATAATTTTTTTTTTCTTTCTTCTCTTCCCTAAGCTCGTTCTGCCTTCCATGGCAAACCAAAATCAGTCTCTTCTGGCTCTTGCCAATACCACAACTTCCAATCTCAATTTTCAAATCCCACCTATTCATCTCAAACTTGAACGGGAGAACTACTCCCTGTGGCGATCTACCATCATCTCTGTTCTAGAGACCTTTGATCTTGAGTCTTTCATCCTGAATCCTTCACCATCATCAGAGACTCAATCTGTCACCGATGCTGACGGTGTTATCACCATTGAACCAAACCCAGATTTTGCACTTTGGAAAAAGCGTGATCGCTTTGTTCTGCTATGGATTAAATCTACCCTCTCTGAGCGCGCACTCTCCTTGGTTGTTCGTGCCACATCATCTCAGATGGCCTGGACTGCCATTGAACACACATTCCAGGCTCAAACTCAAGCTCGTCGCATGGCTATGAAACTTCAACTGCAGACGTTGATGAAAGGGTCTCTCTCTGTGATGGAATATATTGAGCGCAAGCGGTCTATTGCCGATTCTCTGGCTGAAAATCTCCATCCTATCTCTGATGAAGATCTCATTGGTTATATTTTGAGTGATCTGGATTCGTCCTATGGGGCTTTCATCACAGCTTTCATGATGAAGTCTGATGCTGTTTCCGCTGATGAACTTACTGGTCTTCTTCTTCAGGAGGAAGCCAAACTCGAACAGGAGCATACTCGACAACTTGGAATCGTCTCGCCGTCAGTCCCTCCACCACAGCCACCCCCAATGTCCGGCTCCTCTGCTCTCGCTGCTACCCGGTCCTCTTCCAGACCATACTCCAACACCACCAATACCAACAGTGGGGCTGTTTCTTCTTCTACTCGCCATTCTGACACCCGTCGTCGTAGACTGATGTGTCAACTTTGCAGTAAACCAGGTCATGAGGCTATCGATTGTTGGCAGCGCAACAATCAAACTGATTTCCCATCTCGCCGATTAAATCCACGAACTCACTCTCGCCAGGCTCATACTGCTAGCACAGGGACCTCTTCCACTGTCCTGGACCCGTCCTGGTACTTTGACACGGGTGCTACAGATCATGTCACTCCTGATATTGGCAAGATTTCTCTGGCAGACACATACACTGGTGATGATAAGCTGCAAGTTGGAAATGGTAACCACAAGGTAGTCAAAGTCGAAAGGCGCACCTGAAGCACTAGGAGTCTTCTAGCGCCTGAGGCGCTAGGCGCAAAAAAGCGCTCGACTGACTCGGGTGAAGCGCATTACTTATATAAAATCACATATTACTATTCTATAATTACCAAATATGATGTATGTAACATCGTATTGAACCAAATGCATAAAAAAGCTAGGATTCACCAAAATAAAGTCATGATTTACAAAAATAAAAGTCCAAATTTAGAATTCATGGCTTTAATACCTTTTATAAGAACTTAAAAATATACCTTTAACTGTGAGTATTATATAGTATTAAGTTATTAACTATATAATCAAAGCAGAGTACTATGAGTCTATGAGTATTATATACATATTATAAAAGCTGGAATTAGTTAATAGTTAATCAAAGCTGGAATTAGTTAATAGTATTAACTATAAACATATATCTTGAACTATGAGTATTATATACATACTAATATACTAAAAAATCACAGAGCAGAGTACTTTGAGTATTATATACATACTAATATACTAAAAACTCACAAAGCAGAGTACTATGAGTATTATATACATACTAATATACTAAAAAATAAAAAACCAGATTACTATGAGTATTCAGCGTCGAGTGAGGAAAGCTAGGAGAGTGAAGAGCGAGAATGGCTAGCGATGATAGCTGTAGTGCCTTGACTCTTGCGCAAGTTTTACATGGGTTTTACGTAGTTTTACATGTACTTTTACGTGGGTTTAACTTTCTTTACCCTATTGTTTTCATGGGCTGAGTGCTATAAAGATATATGGGCTAGTTGTTTTTCAAAGTTTTAAACCCAAAAAGGATGTTAGCCTTTTCCGTCTCAGGCGACCCAGGTGTGCGCCTCATAGCGCTTCAGCGCTTCCTGCGCTGAGGCTGCACTTGACCCTAGTATGCGCGCTTCTCCTATTTTCAGGCGCTGGGGGTGTAGGTCGCTGCGCCTTGTGCGCTTAAGCGCTGGGGCGAGCGCTTTTGACAACCTTGGGTAACCATCTGTCTATTTCTCATGTTGGCTCATGTTCTTTGCACAATCTTTGCTTGCCTAGTGTATTCATTGTTCCTAAACTCACCAAAAATCTTCTTAGCGTTTCCAAACTTACTAATGACAATAATGTTTACATGGAGTTTTGGCCTACTCACTGTTCTGTTAAGGATTTTCAGGGGCGAACCATACTTCAAGGGGACATTAAACATGGACTTTACAGGCTTCCTTCTCCCACAAATAACATTCCTTCCACCATGGCGCTCACTGGTGTACGCACAAGTCTTCATGGTTGGCATCAACGCCTTGCACATCCTCATGAGGCTCTTTTACGGCGTCTTCTCATTCAGTTTCAACTTCCTGTTTCCTCAAATAAATTTCCCACTGTTTGTGAACCCTGTCAAATGGGAAAAAGTCATTGTTTTCATCTTCCTACATCTCATGTTGCCTCTCCCACCCCTTTTGAATTGATGTATTCAGATGTTTGGGGACCATCCCCCTTATTTTCAATAAATGGAAATCGTTACTTTGTTTTGTTTATTGATGATTGTACTAAATTTGTATGGATTTATTTCTTATCTCATAAATCTCAGGTTTTATCTACTTTTATCCAGTTTAGTAAAATGATTAAAACACAGTTTAATAGTGACATCAAATGTCTTCAATCTGACTGGGGTGGCGAGTTTCGTAATGTTTCTGTTTATCTTCAACAACATGGTATTCAACATCGTCTTTCTTGTCCATATACTCAAGAACAAAATGGTGCTGTTGAACGCCGAAATCGTATCATTGTTGAAAAGGGACTGACCCTGTTAGCCCACTCCTCACTTCCACAGGTTTTCTGGGAACATGCATTTAAAACTGCTACTTATCTCCATAATCGCACTATCACTCCACTACTGCATTTTCAATCTCCATATCACACTCTATAATAAAACTCCGGATTATGCTTTTCTCAAGACTTTTGGTTGTCTTTGCTATCCTTTCTTACGTCCCTACAACAAACACAAAATTGATTTTCGCTCTCTTCCGTGTGTGTTCCTCGGCTATAGTGTTGCACATAAAGGGTACATTTGTTATCACAAACCGACTTCCCGCATGTATATTTCCCGTCATGTTGTTTTCAATAAGCATGTTTTCCCCTATGCTCAACAACCTTCCCTTTCCAGTCCTCCCTCCGGCTTACTGCCCTCACCCAGTCCCCCCTCACTACTCCAACAGGCTGCTGCATTGCCAACCACATGTACACCAGTGACACCATCTCCACCATCTGTCCCTTCTCCCTCTTTATCACCACCTACACCATCACCCCCTACCCCTAGTCTAACCCCTACTCCCCTATATCAACAATCCACTATTAGCTCCTGAGCCAAACAATCCCGACCCTCCACCTCTCACTATCGGCCTGCTGCTCACAATACTCATCCTATGGTTACTCGGGCTCAAACCAATTCATTAAAACCCAAACTTTTTACCTCTCATATCTCCTCTCCTTCCACCCTTGAGCCTTCTACTTATGCCCAAGCTGTCAAACATCCTCACTGGCAGCAAGCTATGCAACAAGAATATGATGCTCTCATGCGAAATAACACTTGGTCCATTGTTCCTTGTCCTACTAATGTCAATGTTATTGGTTCTAAGTGGATTTTCAGGATTAAACACCACTCGGATGGGTCCATTGAACGATATAAGGCTCGGTTGGTTGCACAAGGTTTTAATCAAGAGGCCGGTATTGATTTCTTTGATACATTCAGCCCGGTTGTTAAGCCCACTACAATTCGGTTAGTTCTTTCTATTGCTCTTTCCAATGGGTGGTGCATTCGGCAACTTGATATCAACAATGCTTTTCTTAATGGTGACTTAAGTGAAGTTGTTTACATGAAACAACCTCGTGGCTTTGAAGATTCCTCCCATCCGTCTCATGTCTGCCGTTTACACAAAGCTATTTATGGCCTCAAACAGGCTCCGCGGGCATGGTTTACTAAGCTAAAATGCTATCTAGTTCATCAAGGATTTCGTGCTTGTCAGTCAAATACTTCGTTGTTTGTTCACATTTCTTCTGCCTCCATCATATACATTCTGGTATATGTGGATGATTTGATCATTACAGGTACACATCCAGATTTGATTCAGCGCTTCATCACTCGTTTAAATCAAGTGTTTGCTCTCAAAGATCTTGGCAATCTGCATTTCTTCCTGGGCTTACAAATTAGCAGAAACTCAAAGGGTATTACTTTGTCCCAACAAGGTTACATCCAGGATATTCTCCAGCGAAGTAACATGCAGGATGCTGCTCCAGTTTCTACACCGTCGGATCCCAGCTCTCGACTTACTCGTCATGGTAATCTCTTTCCCGATCCCAAACTTTTTCGGCAGATTGTGGGTTCTCTTCAATATGTTACCATCACCCGTCCTGACATTGCATATGCTGTCAACCGGGTGTGTCAGTTTATGCACTCCCCTACCACCCTTCATTGGCAGGCGACCAAACGGATTCTGCGGTATTTACAGGGCACTTCACATCACTGTCTGCATTTCACTCCTACTGCAGCCACTTCTCTTCTGGCTTTTTCTGATGCAGGTTGGCTCTCTGATCCCGATGACAGCAGGTCTCAATATGGGTATGCCATCTTTCATGGTTCTAATCTTATTAGTTGGACTTCCCGGAAGCAACGAGTTGTGGCACGCTCTAGTACAGAGGCTGAGTATCGGTCTCTTGCTTACACCGCCGCTGAACTATTGTGGCTACAGCAGTTAATCAAAGAACTTCATGCTCCTATTAATGAGACTCCCTTGTTGTTGTGTGATAATGTGGGAGCTATTTTCATGACAAAGAATCCCGTTATACACACCAGGTCCAAGCACATTGCTTTGGATTTTCATTTTGTTCGTGAACAGGTTGAATCTGGTGCCCTCAAAATTTGTCATGTTTCTTCTGTGGATCAGTTGGCAGATGTTTTTACTAAACCCCTGACCAAGGCTCGTCTTCATTTTCTTCGACACGAGCTACAAGTTCGTCCCGTCCTTGAGCTTGCCGGGGGATAACAACCACTTATATTCCTCCTCCGTTATTATAGCTAGTTATTTTGAATTTTTCACATCTGTTTATCCTAATCTAGTGTAAGTAGTTGGGGTAGTGCCTTGTATTTAGGAATTGCTGTTACTTCTTTGTTGTATAAATTTAACTGTAAATGATGTACTGCGGACTGAATAGAAAAATACAACTTCGTCTCTATCCTCTATAACCGCTAAAGATCAGAAAAATTTTACGAATATAAGTAAGCTGAGAAAGATTAAACGAGTTCATTGACGTGTCTACAGGATATAGGCAGAATGCTACTACGAGGCCAAATTAATGAAAAGAATGCTAATAAATTAAAAAGTAAACGAAAAATGAATAAAATAAAGATGAGGGACTCATGAACTTACGGTTAAGCTCTGCGCTTCCATGTCTGCCATTTGATAAGGGTTACCACCTTGATGGAAGGACTCTCTTACGCTAAGCTTCGAGTGAGTGCTAGACTGTTGGGAGGTCTTACTAAAGCGAGTGAAATTATCTTAATATTTTATCAAGACTTTACTACTAATATAGTAATAATATACAAGTATCAAAAAAATTACTCAGAATTGTGCAGAGGAGAGAGAAATGTGTAAAAAATGTTGTGAATCACAAATTCTTTACTAAAAAGGGAAAGTGGAAGTTTTAATTGGAACGAACGAAAAAGGAAAGTTAGAAGTTTTAATAGGAACGGAGGGAGTAGATTAAAAGTCTACTCCCTCCGTCCCTAAAAGGATTGTCAAGTTTGACCGGCACATATAATAATAAAGTAAAAGTTGTGTGGTAGAGATTTGTACAGAAGAGAGAGAAATAACAAGAAGCACAAATTGATTGACTAAAAGGAAAATATCAAAGTTTTTTGGACAACCAAAAAAGGAAAGTTGTCAAAATTATAAGGGACGGAGGGAGTGTATAATTATAAAAAGAGTTGAAGTTAGATACACGGAATACTGGTGAATTAACTCTCTATTTAGAAGTTAGAAGTTTTTTAAATAGTTTATTTTGTTAGAATAGTTAGAAGTTTTTAAATAGTTTATTTTGTTTTTATATACAAGTCATAAAGACGATTTAATTAAAACAAAGTGTTCTAAGTATTTTCTTGATCATGCAAGGTCTTTGTTTATTAGGTAATACTATTTTGATGAAACATGAAAAACATTACGTAATACTTCGTACTAATCTTGATGACCCTTGTGAAGAAAATGATGTTAAGATTTTTTAAAAATTTACCCAGCTTCTATTTGTCTGTATACAGGAATTCACTCAATGTTCATTTGTTTGTATAGAAGCATATACTCATTGTCCATTTGTCTGTATATAAGAATTTACTCACCGTCCATTTGTCTGTATACAGGAATTTTCTCACTCCATTTGTCTGTGTACAGGAATTTTCTCACTCCATTTGTCTGTATAAAAGAATTTACTCACTGTCCATTGGTCTTTGTACATGAATTTACTCATCTCCCATTTGTCAGTTTACATGATTTTTTTCACTCCATTTGTCTGTATATAGGAATTTACTCACTGTCCATTGGTCTTTGTATAAGAATTTACTCACTACTCATTTGTCTGTATACATGAATTTTCTAACTCAATTTGTCTGTATGCAGGAATTTACTCACTGTCTATTGGTCTTCGTACAAGAATTTACTCACTGCCCTTTTATCTGTATACAGCAATTTACTCACTGTCCATTTGTCTATATATAGGAATTTAGTCACTATCCATTTGTCTTTATACAGGAATTTACTCAATGTCTGTTTGTCTGTATACATGAATTTACTCACTGTTTGGTTTATATTCTTAACCTGGCAGCAGATTATTGATAAAGATTATGAGCCATTCCTCAAGAAAGTTGTTGATGAAATTAATAAGCCTGGGTTGCGGGTTGAAGTTGTGGAAAAAATGACAAAGGGGATAGAAGAAACACTTGTTGATAGTGTACAAACGAGGCTTAAGGGAATAGAACAATCTCTCTCAAGTGAAGCAAAAGTTGAGAGCTTCTCTCTCCTGGGAAAATCTTTCCCAACTCTTTTGCGCAAAAGAAGTTTGTTCGATGTTCGAATTTTTGGTGGTTTAATCCTTGAAATAGCTATGGTTTTAGTCGGATTTTACTTCTAATTTCATTTTCGACCTTGAATCTGAACTTGGAAAGATGATTTGGGACCAGAAACGCAAGAAACGCAGTTGTTCATCGTACTCGCACTATTCACGGTGAATGAGATTGGGGTTTCGATTTTTTGATTTTGTGGAGTTTTTTCTGGTGTTTGAGACTTCTTTGGGACTTGCTGGGCCAGGACGAAGGTCGCTGACTGAATCGTAGACGTTTAGATTCTACTTTGCTCTGGTCTTACAGGAAGCTCTGGTTTGTGCGCGTTAACTGCGAATTTGGGGATTTCTTCTGCAATTTCTGCGGTTAATAGCTCGTTGCTCTGAAGTTAGCTCTGCATTTGCTGTGCTTAGCTTTGCTTCTATCTGCGGTTTTTTATGTGTGCTCTTCCTAACCTGTAAACTATGAACAAAAAGAAGGCAGGGAAAGGGGAGGCTACGCCTAGAGTCACCAGGTCTAAGGAAGCAGGTTTTGAGCTACTGGAAAATCTAGAGGAGGATTTCCCTGTACTTGCTAAGGCTACTGGGGGTGAAAAAAGTGCAGGGAAAACTGCTGCTAACACTGCAAATGATAAAATTGCAGGTCTTGGTTTGAATGCTACTACTAAGGCTACTGGGGGTGAAAAAAGTGCAGGTAAAACTGCTGCTAACACTGCAAATGAGCAGGCTGATAAAATTGCAGGTCTGGATAAAATTGCAGGTCTTGGTCTTGGTTTGGATGCTACTACTAAGCAGGTTCTGCCACGGGCAGATTCTGGTAATAAGGCTACTGGGGGTGTATTGGCTATTGACTTACCAAATGCTGGGACATTGGTTTCGGTTCCACAGGCAGACCCTGAAACTAAACCATGGAAGGCTTTGTTCAAAGATAATCGGGACCCGAAGCATGGCTTTAAGCTAAAATATATCCCCCCGAAAGGTGAGACATTGGACTTTGGTGATCGAGTATTACCCCCTATGGTTGATATGTGGGGATACTGTCTAGTTGGACACTTCACGGGAAGTTTCCCCGGACTCAAAGCAGTCCATGACCTTAAAGCTACATGGGGGGTCAAATGCCTTGTGAGATCCCACAAGAAAGGTTGGATAATCTTTAAATTTCATAATGAGAAGGATAGAGCGAAAGTACTCCATGAGGGACCTTTCACTGTGTTTGGGAAAATCCTAATGCTCAAAGAACTTTCAGAAAATTTTTCATTTGAGGATGAGGAATTTCTAAAAGTACCAATTTGGGTTAAGTTCCATGATTTACCAATGCAATTATGGAATGATGAGGCAATGAGTGAGGTGGCATCTATGGTTGGGGTTCCAATAACTACAGATAAGATCACCCAAGAGAGGATTAACAATGATTATGCTAGAGTGTTGATAGAGGTTGATGTCTCAAAGCCACCGCCACTATCTTTTCATATACGACTACCTTCACATAAGGTAATCAAACAAAGTGTGGTTTATGAAACCTTCCCTAGTTATTGTTTTCATTGCAAAGAATTTGGGCATCACCCATTTATTTGTAATGAATTAGCTAAACGGGGTGATGAGGGGAACTATGGAAAGGGAAAACAGGTTGTTGAATGCATTAAAAACAATGAAAAAATTGATAAGACTACAATGAGCCCTACTCTGCCAGTAGATTCTGCCCAGCCGGTTAACCCGACCGGGTGCCCTACTAGCCCGACCGGGTTTCAGAAGTCTGCCCAGCAGAAGAAACCTACTGCCAAACTGACCGGGTCTCAACAGCACTCCCACCCGACCGGGTCTAACACTAACCCGACCGGGTCTCAGTTGAAGACTGCCCAGCAGAAGCTACCTGATGCCAAACTGATCGGATCTCAGCCTAACCAGACCGGGTCTAACACTAACCTGACCGGGTTGATGCAGCAGAATGGGTCCGGTGCTACTCCAGGGGTTGTGACACATGTCCAAGGGTCCTACTCAACAAAGGACTCTGAGGCCATTTTGGAAGAAGCGGAGAGGATAGTTACGAATGAGAAGGAGATGCATCCATACGATGTTGTCGTCAAATGTGAGGTAATAAATGGTAAGACACTCAAGTTGTTTGTCAAACCATTTAAATTGGTGCAGGCCAGCGTGATCAGAGTGGATACTTCCCTTCGGCTTACGGATGATTTGGATAGAAAGGGCCTAACTTTCACCGCCAAATGTCTTGAGGGTCTACCGGGAGTTACTAAAAAGAAAGGGGAGGTTTGTTTTGACACAAAGTTCACTACTCCTTTCCGGTCTTTCTTTGGATGCTAAATTAGGGAAACCTAATTTTTGTTGACGTATTGTTGTATGACTGTTTTGGTGAACTAAGAGTTTGTGAGTCTTGATTTTGTGGTATTTCGTGTATCGGGATATGCACTGTACACATGATGCATTGTACTATGCTATTTTTCTGGATATATATACATTTACATTTTATCCAAAAAAAACAATCTCTCAAAATGTCGAAAAGAGGCTTAAGGGAATAGAAGATAGCATTTCTTATTTGAATGACTAGTTGTACAATGTGCTACAATGTGCTAGCCAAACACAATATTAATTTTGGATGAACAATGCACATTTTTGTAGAATATTGTTTGCTACAATGCATTATATTTGTACAATATTTCTAGTTTATATTCATTGCGCACAAAAAAAAATACAACGTTTATATTCAAATAATTACATAGTCGTCGTCATCATTCAATTTAGATGGAGGTCACAGCATGTACGTTCAACATTTCTTTTGGATCCATTTTCATTCCCCTCAAGTGGTCCCTTTGCCTATTTTTTCTTGGAGCTCCTTTGCTTTTTGAACATTTTGGATAAAAAATTTGTTGTTTGTGGTCATCTTGTACCATTGTGGTTATCTTCGTCACTTGTGTCATCATACCACAAATAGAAGATGGGTGGCTACGGGGTGCACTATACTCACGTAATTGGATTGGTTATCTCCGACACTCGTGTTCGTAAATAATTCATGCATGTATACATGGATTGCATTACCAACTCGTCTTTGTGTTCACATTAATACAAAAAACACCATAAATACCTTTTACACACTAAATGTTTGTATATAGGTATTAGTTGTCCGTGTATATTAGTTGTCTGTGTACACAATAATTATAAGGCGTATGTGTACACAGGGACTGCAAGAAGAACTCGTTTTTTCTCCCCAAAAATATAAAATAAAGAGAACAAATAATAACACCTTCTACACGGCTACCTAAATCATCCATGGCGTCCATGTTCATGTTCAACCGTTCCCCATTGTTTGAAGTGGTATTACCATCTCCGGTTTCCGTTGTTGTTTCCATCAACAACTCTTCATATCAATCTTCTCCAGTTGGTGGTGTTATAAAATTTATTCCTAAACAATGAAAGTA